AAACTCCACTGTCATTCTACTTGCTACTTTTTTTTGAAAATAATATATCTTTCTTGCCTATTTATTTATTCATTTATCAACATTCTATTCCTCAATTAATTTGTAAACCCAATATGTTCAAGAACTCTTTCTGTATTATTCACCTCTATAACATTCAGCATTTCCTAGAATGTTGCTTTGTACAGTAGGTGCCCAATAGATACTCGTTAAATAAAAAATGAGTAAAGGAACTGTCAAAGCCTCTGCCACTCTCCCAGTCCAAGCCACATTATTTCTCATGTGAATTAATAATGTCTTTTAACTGATCCCACAGCCTTCGGTCTTACCTGCTCCCTGAACAGTTTTGTACACAATGATCAGGAATTCCTTTCAAAAGCAAAAATATATGTCATTTCCATAGTCACAGTTCTTTAATGGCTTCTATGTGTTGTTGGTATAAAGTCTAAACTTTTGAGATTAAAAACCTCAAATGTTTCTTTGCAAGTTGGCTCAAGATTCTTTTTCTACATAAGCTTAAAATGCTACCTTGAACTGGAGTATACTTCTCTCCATCTCCCCCACCTGGATGACTCTCTACTTGTCCTTTCTTTCTCAGCTCAAATGTCACTTCTACAGAAGTCATTCCCTACTCACCTAACACAGGGTAGCTCCCTATGTTTTACCTTCCCATAGCACACATAACTTCTCCTATCGCAATACTCACGCAGTCGTTCATTCATTCTACAGATTATTAGTGAGAATCCACTATATTAGGGTAGCTCCCTATGTTTTACCTTCCCATAGCACACATAACTTCTCCTATCGCAATACTCATGCAGTCGTTCATTCATTCTACAGATTATTAGTGAGAATCCACTATATACAACACTGAGCTGGATCCTAGGAACATGGTGAACAAGATAAAACGTGCTTAGATTCTAGTGGGGAAAAAAATTAAACACATCATCACACAAATAATTAACCAAATTGTGACAAGTGCTTCAAAGGCAAAGTGCAAGTACAGTGAGGACCTTATAAGAGTCGAGCCTAAACCTATTCTGGAGAATCAAAGGCTCTTAGGTAAACGATAGTGATTAAAATTAATCCCAGAGTAACAACTACCCAGGGAGAAAGTAATGGGAGGGGGGGGAGGCAGCAGCTATCACAAGCAGAGGTTGGTTGTGTCATTATAATTATTTGTTTAACATGTCTTTCCAATTGTAAATCTGTCTTATTTACCATGAATTCATTCATATATGTATTATTATATTAATATATAAATTGATCAGTTAATTTATTATCAAAATCATAAAATAATTAAGTCAAAGCCCTAGTAAACAAATAGGTATTAAGAGAAGTTAAGACCCAGAACATAACTGAAGTTTTAAAGTTTATGTCAATACTCAACTATAAATAACACGAGGATTAGATCAACATTTCTCAAACTACATTTCTTTGTACCCTGGTGTAGTAAGAGAGGATTCTTTTGAAATCAAATGAAATTTATTGGTTCATATAGTTGAAAAATGCAGGGTTAGGTCTAGATTCAGACATGGCTGCATACACATGCCTGAATCAAAGGTCTTTCTCATGAGCCGGGGAATTAATTCAGCCCAGTGTGAATTAATTCATGGGCTGGCTGAAAGGAGAGGAAAAATAGTTCTCAAAGGAACATTGGTATGAGACAGATAAGAAATTGATGCTACACAACTAGGCACGCTAAAATAATAGCTGTTCACTGTCAGTAATTCTGCTAGATCAGCAATTTTCAAACGTTTTGGTCTCAGAACCCCTTTACATTCTTAAAAGTTATTTAGGGCCCCAAAGAGCTTTTGCTTATATGACTTGTAGTTATAAATTTGCCATATTAGAAATCCAAACTAAAGAAAATTTGACATATTAGCATGTTGTATTAGTCCGTTTTGAGGTGTTGTAACAGAATACCTAAAACTTGGTGATTTATAAAGAAAATGAAATTTATTGCTTACACTTTCTGAGGCTGGGAAGTCCAAAGTTCACTTGGTGGTGGTGACAGTGACTCAGGGGGTTCACATTGCAAGATGGTGGAAGCAGAGAGAGCAGGGGGTGGGCAGGGAGACAGGTGCCAGGGTCTTTTAAACAACCAGTTCTCAGGGGAACTAATAGAGCAAGAGCTCACTCAGGCTCCCTCCCCCAGAAAGAGCATTAATCCATTCATATGGGATCGTCCCTCATGACCCAAACAACTCCCAACACTGCCACATTGGGGATCAGATTTCCACATGAGTTTTGGAGGGACAACACTTCCATACTCTATCACGTTAATATAATTTCATTAAAAAGTAACCAGATTTCCAGAAAAAAAAGTAAGAAGATTTGCACTCATATTTTTTCAAACCTCTTTACTATCTGGCTTAATAGATCCTCATATCCACTTCTGTATTTACTCTGTTACAATGTTGCACATCATGCAGCCTCTAGAAAACTCCACTGTATACTCTTGAGAGAATGAGAATGAAAAAGGAAATAATGCCTTAGTATTATTACGAAATACTTTTGAGTTTGCAGAA